TTAAGCCCCAGCTTCAGCAGCAGTGACGGGGAACTGTTCAGACAGATAATATCTTCACTTAAATAAAGAATTAGATTCGGTCCTTTGTTTTTTCTTTTTTTTTTTTTTTTTTTTTTCCCTTAATAAACCTTAAACCTTGAAAAACAATTGTGCATAGGCAGTAAAAGAGGAGTTTGGTAAGGGTCAGAATTAAGCTTGGGTAACATCAATGATGTTTTATTTTTCAATACTTGGGATGGGTAAAAATATCCACCTGGAATTTTATGGTGCATAGTATATGCAAATAGGTGTTAACAAGGTATATATAACAATTCTATGAAATAATATGAAAACTTAGTGGCTAGTCATTTCAATTGGTCAGAGAAAGGAATCTTGAAAAAGCCCTGCTTGGTAAAAACAGCTGTGCATTTAGCTTCCAAAAATGAGGCCCCTTCAAGGGATGTGAAGCTGGGCACCAAAATCTGGTGCTGGACACCAAAAGCTGGTTTGGAAAAATCTTGTGCAGTACCAGTTTTAGGAGCAGATAGAAGCAATCTAAATAGTAATTGTTACCACATAACTGAAAAGTCCTGAGATTTACTTGGACAGTGTCCCTGGGAACATTCGTTAAGAATGAAATGCAGTTGAAGCAATTTGTACCATGAAGTCAGAGAGGAAATCAAACTAATCCTTGATGAAATTATGTGTAAGCTTGACTGTCTAAGACTTACTAGAGCAAAAGAAACAGAAGAAAACCAAGCCAGAATGAGATATTGAAAGGTACTGAAACTAGGTCACTGTCCTACATTACACAAAAGCTAAATGAAGCTCTATCATCCCACAATATCCCAAGTGAGATGAACAAAGGACTTTGTCTGGTGCGAATCTCCTAGCAGCATCCAAGTTATACAGCTGCATAAATCATAAAGAAACTTAAAGCATAGTAGAAATGCCAGGACAGGTAGAATGTATAGAAATGCAGGAACACAGGAGGAAACAAAGGGGGTGGGTTCTGTTGTAACTCTGCATCACTGCATGGTAGTAAATTCCCATCAAGAAATCCTGTGACTTATTAAATAATAAAAAATAAAGTACAATGTAAGTAGGATGAAGGGGTGCTGAGTGGAAGAGCCAGGCAATCAGATAGATACACTAAGCCAGAATGAGCCAAGAGGTGCTTAATTAGTAAATAGAAATAAAATTGCAGTAGAAAATAGAATCTGTTTCTTACACCATAGACTCAGAAACCTTTATCATGATTAGTTACAGGGTAGACTTCCTGAGTCTACAGGACAGCAAATGTTGACTGTTCTTGCTCCCCTTCCTTCTTTTTGATATTTAAATCTTCAATTTCATTCAAGGTAATTCAGTCAACAGAATCTATATATTTTTACTGAATTAAGCACTTTCTCCCCTTCTATAGGCAGAGATACAGCACAGTTATTGAAAATGGGAACTTCAGAAGATGGAAATGGTTTGAAATTTCATTTCAAGCACAACGGTTTTTTTGTTGTTCCTCTCCCTCCCCCTCCCCCAAACGGCTTATGTTAGTTTAGCAATGAACATGGCTTGACTGTTTACATTATTCTTTTTTAATGGAGAAAACCTATCATTTCCACATTGAAACAAACATTATCAAAGCAGGTGTTTAATGATGAATGCAGGAAAAGTAACTTTAAAGGACTCTGAAAAATATTATTTTATGTTCATTAGGAATTATTAAGAAATATTACTCAAGTAAATATTAATTACTTAAGAACCAGTTCATGCTGTCCTTGGATAAGCATCTTAGAGCAAAGAAAACTTGGCACTGCAGTGGAGCAGAGCTTCCTAGGATAGGTTTGTGTCCATCCCAGCCCCTTGCTGGCTCTATGGTTCCAAACTCAGAAAGATTTGTGAGTAGTCAGGATTCATATCATGATCCATATTTTGAACCTCTGCTCTAGCAAGGTCTGTTTGTTAGTTTTCTAGTGTCAGAGTCCACTTTAGTTTATCTAACTATATCTATTCAAATAAATAATTACCAGCTACTTCATGGGCTGCAAATTTACCATATATTCTAAATGAAAATTATGCTTGGTATACCCATGGGAAGCTGGAATCTGAGGCAAGAAGTGCTCCTGAATCCATTAGCATGCATTCTAAATAAAACTGGCCTGTTTTTTGCTACAATGAGCAGTGAAAAAAAGAGTCCATTAGATACTGGAAATATTGTCTTTCTAAAACCAGCAGATTTTTATTTGTGCAACATCTAAGCACTGCAAATCTCAGCAGAAAATTGCACTGGAACAGTGGGCGGTTCCAAATTGCTGGAAACTTTACAATGGCTTTTATGTTTAAACATCATTTAGCAGCTGTTAAAGGTCAGCACAAATCCTGTACTTTATCAGTATAAATGAAGTCTATAGCTGCCAAGAAAAGAATGTATTAAATAATGCAGTGATTATAATATTGATTTTTTTCCCCATTCAGAAGTGAAAAGGACCCCTTAAGCAGTTTCATTTTTTTCCCTCCTTATTTAAAATTGACAAAGTAAAACACTAATTAAATTATTTATACCAGAAATTTACTTACAGGGATGACACATTTTCTACACAAAGCAAGTAAAACATCTGACACATTGTATAGTGCCAGGTGCAGTTAAGAAAGTGTAATATAAGTCAGCATCTAGAGGCTAAAAATCCAAAAAACTTGCTGCAATGTTTCATTATCAATTTTATTTCCTACCATACACCAAATGTACAGCACAGAACACAATTTTGTTGTTTTGATGTAAGAAATATTAATTGTATGAAGAAACAGTATACAAACTACTCCAAATTAAAAAATGCATACATCATTGCTCTTTACAAAAGGTCTAATTTACAGTATAGCTCATCAATGCATTTAAACACGAAAAAAAAAAAAAGAGAAGAAAAAAATCAGTGCACATTACAAAACACATCAAGTACAAGGGAGGCAAATAAATACATACTTCACAGAACATCCTGAGCAAACAACCAAACACAGTTAAATTAACCTGAAGCCATAGTAAATCATAATAATAAATACATAAGTCAGTAAGAGATTTCTTTTTCTTAAATAAAATATATAACAAATTTGTTAAAATATTTAGTAAATTAAATTTTAGTCTTTGTAATGAGTGAACTCATTTTGTATGCATTTAACAAGTATAACAAAAGTTCGCTTTTTGTTTTTTTAGCAAGAACAATAACTTTAATAACAAATTTTTGTTTGGTGTCCTCCTATTTATATTAGACAGCACGTATGGTAGCTTTTGAAAAACCAATTTAAAAATAAACACAGCTCCTAAGAACATACATTTTCCCCTGTCTAAACTAGGATCAGAGGGTTGAATCAACCCTCAAACGAAAAGCAAGCCCCACCTAACGCAGAACAGTGACCACAGTGCATGAGAGTTGAATCACTTTTGAATAGTACTTTTGTGCAGGAACAGTAATAATATAATTGTATATGTCAAGCCTGTGAATGCCATCATATTCAATCTAAATATAAATGCGGCTAATAAAAATAAACACTTTCATTATAGCACGGAAAAATTAAACACACACTAGATCCATGTATACATTTACACTGAGGCACATATGCACATGAGGTGTGTGTGCATACAAAAAAGGCAGTTTAGCTGGTTGTTTATACCTTTTTCTTAAAAAAAATAAATATAAAAAAAACTTCTGAAACAATGCTTAATTACTTACAATCCCTGAAATAGACATTGCCTCTGTTATAGCAACCGCTACTTTCTGACGGATTCAGAAGTTCCTCATCCAGGCTAATCAGATACTGAGGTGCATGCCAGCACCTCTGCGCAAGTGCTCATCTGTCCACACCTCTGTCTGTCTGTATGCTCTGTAGCACTTGGTACCCTACCAAAAGACTGGTAACAAATTTAGTATCAGCCTAGTCTTAGAGAAGAAGGATGGGAGAAACCAGTGATGGTGTTGCTACCATTTATTCAAAGGGAAAAGCAACCACTGTTGCGCTGGAGTGGTAAAATTCCTCTCCAGACCGCTGCCTTCTCAGCTGCCGTTAAGTTCAAACCAGTATTAAATGCCATTTCAGGGGAGATGTGTTCAATTCATTATGTACAAAGCCTTCAGCTTGGAATATGTTTGCGTTTTTCAAATCCAAATCCATAGCAATACTGGTCACTTGGTTAAAACCTCAATGTTTTATACTAAAAAAGTACCAGTCCTATCAAATTATCCTTCTTGTTTAGAGATAATTGTCATTTCCCTCCATGAACTAACTCTGAAAAAAACTGCAGTGGTAAAATAAATCTGAAGTTCTCTTGAAACATTTTAAATAATCATTCGTATAGGCTAAATCACACAGCCAAGTCAAGTGCTTTGCTGATTGCTATATTTCATTATTGCTAACGTATTCTTTAACACACTGTTTTCCAGCATACTGTGCTTTTAAGAGCCCAAGTTCCCCACTAGTGGGCACCATTTATCTTCTCATTCCATGCATCTTCACATCTCATGTTACTGCAAACCCACTTCTGATACAAAGCCATTATAAAAAAGCAGGATGTGAGGAAAATAAAACTAGAACCACGGTTCAGTCATTTGTTACTTTCATAGGTTTTTTTTTTCTTCCTGTACAAACCCAGCAAGTTATATAATTTACAGTATAACTTTCAGTCTATTTAAAATCCCGTTGGAAAATAAATTAATAAACACATTTGTAAAAATATGGCAGGCCACAAAAATGCTGTTAAAAGATAAAAAAAACAACTCTTTGATTAGAAATAAATAAAAAATATAAAAAATAGTTGCACACACTTTTTACATTCACTTTACAAAAACTGAGTGCAAAAGAAGAAAAAAAAAGGAATCGTACTGAAATAAATACAATATACTAACAGAGTGCATTGCTGTTAATACAAATAGTCTGTTGTGGTTTTATTCTTTTATTTTTTTATGTCAGCTGGGAAAAAAATTAGTGCAATGTTGCAATTGTAAATGCAGCATGGCAACCTACACCCCTTAGCAGTACATGAACTCCTAACAGATCCATCTGGAGTTTACTGCTGTTAAGTAATTTCTGTTGCCCAGCAGCTTTCACATCCTACACATGGATGCCCTTCACTGCCTGTTTGATACTTTCCAGCAGAGCTTTGCATTCGGGGGAATAGTCCCGTTCCAGATTGCTGTACATGTCTGTGAGTGTATTTACATATGCTTCGAAATTCTGCTCACTGATTGGCCCCTAAATGAAGACAAAACAGATTATAATTGTAGGAGAGAAAATTAAGGCCAAAAAAACCCAGACACCCAACCGCAAAGCAAGGAAAAGCAGCGATATGGCAACTGGGGAGAAGTTGTAAACAGGGAAGCCATCCAAATGAATGGAGGGGTTGTAGAAATTAAGGGAGTTGCATGTGCTGGGGGGAACCACACACTCTCCAAGCAAGAAAAGGAGTTGGAGATATAAATGTCAGTGTAACTTGCTTTTTACTGTGGCCTATTTGGCTCTGGGATTGTGGCTGAAAACCCCTTAACCATCCTCATGCAATATCCCAGTGTCACTCCTGAAACTGGGCAAGGGGACTGTAATTCTGGAGAACCAAGTACAGTTGTAGGTCTAGGCTGTGTTTGCAACTAAGACATTGAGGATCTGGAGTTTTGAGAAGGTAGAGCTTTGTTGGCTCCAGAAGAATCACCTGTATGAAACAGGTTAAAGTTTTGATCTACAAGCAGAGTAAATAAGGATTCTTGCTGTGAAATTTTCACTCTTTGTGCAGGATGGACAGTTAGATAGGGAGGGATGAGGGAAAAGCCTGTCCTGCACCATGCAGTACAGGGCAAGAGATACCAGGGCCAGCTCAGTCCTGGAAGAAACCGTGCTTGCTACTACATAGATTTCATGATCCAGCATCTAAGTAAATTAGCCTAAAAGAGCTCTCTGCTAATGCAGCTCCAGTGCTCCTGCTGGTCCCTGGGCTTGCTCATCTGCTTCAAGTGCTGGCAAAACAGACTCAAAGAAGGTGCGAAGCTGCTGGCTGTAGTCTTACCATCTGTGGAAGCTGAATGTCAGCGAGGCTGGAGATGAGAGCTTGGCTAAGGCCAGCTAACTCCTTCAACAGGCTCTCGTTGTTCTGCTCTATGAGTTTGTTCTCTTCCTCTATTGTTTTCAAATTGCTCTCCATAGATGTAATCTAAAAGACACAGGTAGGTACAAACACACAAACAGACAGACTCTTGGCAGCGCTGCATCTGCAGTTTGAACTCCAAATGGCAGTCACATGGTTATGAGAGGGGTCGTGATGGATCTAAAACTCAGGTATGTTCTTTTTTGGATAATCATAATTTCTCCACAGAATATTCAGAACAAGGAGAAGTTTGTATTTGCTCTGAACCGGTGGACTCTGATGTTGTTTCACAAAGAAACCTTGTGGCAGCGAGGCACTGGAGAGTGCCCAGCAGTGGGAGGAGGGATTTGAGCTCCGGGGAGGAAAGTCAGTGTGGAGCTCAGATGGAGAGTGTGGCTGCAGGGCTGGTGGAGGGAAGGAGAAAGGAAGCTGATGTTTACATTGCTGTCCTGCTCTTACAGCATCTCTGCTGATTGACCACAATAGCGAAGGCATGGGTATTAGCTGTTGTGCTACTTTCCTGCCCTGCTCCTGGGTGGAGGGTAGAGCTGTGGGCTGGCTGGGATTAGCAGCAGGGCTGGCACTGGAAACAGCAAAAGAAGAATAGAGTGCAAAGGAAACTGAGAGGTTGACTGCACACCAATCATCACAAAGATGATCTATGACAAACAGAATGGAACACAGGGTTTTGGAAAGAGCAGGAAAAGGGGTCTGAGGTAGCAAAATGATCTCTTTTCAGTGTGAGCCCACTGGGAATATACTCAGCTCTGAAGGCTTATATGTCAGAAGCAGGGCTGAAAACCAGAAGGCATCAGTGGCTGGGCCTGTTTCCCTGCTGCCCATCTCCTTGCCCTGCAGCAGGCAGCAAGGCAGCAGTGCAGGGCAGAATCATGGGCTGCCACCGCTGTACGTGGCCATGGCTCCCCAAGGCACAGAGCAAGAGTCACATCTGCAGCTGTTATGCCCACCCTGTCCTTGTTAGGTTGCACATCTCTGCACTACTTAAATGTCTCTTGCTGTAGCCACTTTACTTCTCTTCCTTACACACTGTGGCAGAGCAAAATGATCCCAGGGGAGGAACCCCTTTTTGTTTGCCTGCAATCCACTACAGCCGCTCCTTTGGAGGGTGCTTGCAGCAGCATGGCCTAACTGCCCAGGCTAGACTATAAGGAGATAGCAGAATCCACGTAGGGATGTGTTGCTTCAGGTGTAGCTCAGTTCAGGCTTTGCTAGTCAGACCTCCTTCACCAGGGAGCAAGTCCGAGGAGAAGAAATCTGACTGCATAAATTGGGCAATCTCTGTGCAAACAACATAGTGATCACCAGAGAGAACTGAAATAAGTGTCCTGGGACACTGAGCGTCACCTCCCACACAGTGCGACCTTTGCAATGTGAAGCCAGATCATTTAGATACAGCATATTTGGCATAAACTTCACCCTTATTTAGACCGTACACACAGTGGTTATTGCAAAAACAGCATTAATCAACACTGGACATTCCAGTGTGGTACAAATACAGAGGAGTATGGTTACACTCAGTTTGGTTTAGGTCAATTTAGACTTACATTCAGTTGCCATATCTCATTTAGGAACTGTATTCTTAAACTGTTATTCCTAAAATATTGACCAAGCTTCTGCTCTTGCTTTTACGCTCTGCCCAGGGTATCTCCCAGGAGCCCCTGTAGGGATGAGCATATTCAGCTCACTCTCTAGAACCACAGTCAGCATCTTACAGCTGATTTAATCTCTCCAGTATACAAAACAATGAAAGAGAATGACTCTTTTCTGTAGCTCCCTTCAAACTCCTCTGCAACACAAATTAGCAAAAGGCATCCATTCTTTACCAGGTGCTACCTGGAGCCAAATTCAAACTATTTGAATAACTGACAATGGGTGAACTGAACTAGGGAGATTTTCTTAGCTTCACATAAGTACAAAGTCAACTTCTATTAAGATTTGTAGTGTGCAGGTAAGAGGCAATATCCTCCCCAAAAAGTACAGTAATGGGATTCTGCATGGTTTGGTCAATAAAGAAAAATGAATGTTTTGTTTGGTAAATACAGTTTTTCTGCTTGCCAAGGTTAGCTCCAAACTGCCCTGAATTTGTCATTCACTAGATCTTTAAGACCATAACCAGGAATCTGCTGCTTATTTACAGATAAAAAACAAACAGAAACTTGGCAAAACAGCATGTATTTTGATGTGCCACAGAGTGATGGAAAATAAGTGCACAGAAAACTAGCTGTGTTTAAGCATGCATTTACATAGCATTTTATTGATTCATTTTCTTTAAGACTAGCATAAGAACAGGTAAAACTTTCATGTCAATATCGTACCTGGGTTTGAAGTTTCATCATGTCAGCTTCAATTTTAAGATTGGATTCATTCAGTTCTTTTATTTCCTCGTCCAAGTGTCTGATTTCTTCATCACTCTCAATGCCTGCAAATAGTTGAAAATACCAATATCAGATTTAAAGTGACCACATATAAATGGAGGTATGAATAACAAGCTGCACTGATCCATAAATTGCCTCTTACTTTGCTTTTACTGTCAAAATTGTTTCCTAGCTGTGAAACATATGTATGAGCTGAAACATAGAAGGGGCTTTCTGAATCTTTGTGTTTCTCAAATATTTTTTCCAGTGCAACATACAACTGCAAGCTGGAGGGTTCAGAAAGGAAATATTGCCCAGAAAGAGGAAATTTTATTAAAAAACATGAGAGGGTATTTGCAATGTTGTTTGGGTTTTTTTCTGCTTTAGAAGAAACATAGCAATCCATCTTTTGCAGGAAACACCCGAGGGTAACATCTCCTCTAGTTTAACTGCTGACTTTAGTAAGCTGTTATATATCTGCTTCTGATCTTGCAAGAAGTTCTGTGGGGGTAGGTCTTGGTGCAGAATAACTCCAAGAAGCACAGCCTTAGTTACGAGTGATAAACAGTGAAATTTAAATAGCAGCAAAAGAGAAATTGTCAGGAAGCTAAAAAACATTATAGAAAAAAAGAAGGAGGGAACACTTTTACATCCCTGCAAGTTAGATGATAGCAAAGAACAAAAACCTCAGGTCTTTTAACAAAAGGCTTGTTCCAAAAAATACTGAGCAGCTACAGCTGGTGGCAGCGCATGTCCCTCTTTCTGCTTAGTGTCACTCTGAGACCAACTCGCCTGGAGGTTTGTGTTACTGTTGTTACTGCTTTAAAACCTAGAGCCCTGAACAAGCCTGCTGTGGACCCAGCTTGGGAAAACTGTAAGCAGTAGTCCCTGCCGCTGTGAAAACATAGACACATGGAAGCAAACTTCTGCTCAATGTAATTGCCATGTTTTGCTCAGCAATTGAAGGCATAAAGACTAAGTTCCCTGAATCCTGTCCCAATACCCAACTTTCTAAAGCATGCTGTAAAAGAAAGGAGACTCCTACATATTTCCCCCTGTAACTATTTGGTAATTGTTCCTGTACACTTGGGTTAGCAAAATTATCCAAGTACTGCACAGATACTAAACCACGTAGTACTCAAGTTAAGGAGAAGAGTAGATTTATGCACACAATATTTGTCCCTTCTTACCTTAGCCATCAGACAGCTAAGTCCTCCTGATCTGTAACTAATAATTTATTAGTAATAACAATACAGAAAGCATCTCCAAATAAAAAAAAAAATAATGCTCTGATACAAGATGAGAGCATACCCTTAATGTTGAGTTAGCATGATGTAGATAACAATAATTTTATAATCTCTCATGCAAAGATTTTTGTTATTCAAGATTTGTTATTGCAGGAGACAACTGAAAGGAGTGAGAATTAATGCCAGAATGGCATCAAAGGGCATAAGTATAAATGGGAGTCAGGGCCCGTCTATCTAAATAAATGTCATCATCTTTTACAAATCTCCTTACCACCACTTGCTTTAAGCTTGATAGTCATTAATTCTTCCGAAATTTTGCCCTTTTTTATGGTTTGTGCATTCAGAGGACAACCAGACAGGCTGAAACGGATAGGAAAAAAAACATTAGCACCCACTTGAAAATGGCAACAATCCTTTCAGGCAATATTATCATGCACTTGGACAGACCTTTGTACCTAAGGTCATATCAGTATCTCCATTATAGCATAGCTTCAGAGAATGACATAACTCATAAAGAGCCATTTAACTGTATATTCCAGCTTGAAAATTGGCACAGAAATCTCAACCTATAAGCAAACAACTCTTAAGCATATTTCAGAATAATCAAAATAGCAGTGGCAGGCACCGTTAATTATGTGAAGATGCATTTACAGAATTCTTGAAGTTCTAACACTTATAAATAAAACCACTCTATTGTTTTTATTAAGGGCTCGTGCTTCAGAGGAGAGGGCCAGTATGGTCCTTTAAAATGACAAGTTCACTATCCTAAAAAAAATTAGTTAATGGGATGATTTCCATAGTGCACAACTATTGTATCATTTTTTGTTACATAATAATGATCAATACAATAACAACTCTGGATATACCCTATAGACTGTAATAGCTTTTTTGAATGGTTCTATTATATAGTCAGTTTGCTTTTTAACCACTGTTCACATTAAATTACATTTTGCTATTTCAAAGCTTGCAATTTCATCAACTGGTAATTATCTGAGGCAATTTTTATAGCCCACTAAAGGGCTAAGATGAATTGCACTGTCTTAATACTATCTTTATAAATAACAAAGAAGAAATACCCATATGCTGAAGAACTGGCAGAGAGATATGTATTCAGATGTAGCCAAGTAAGGAGTGAAGGAAAATTTTGTTCCACAGGAAAATGGTTGATTTTTGTGCTTGTGTAAAAACTAAACCAAAAAATCCTAGCAGACATGGTGTTTCCACATTGAGAAAGAAAAGAAAACACTCTTTGCAGGTTAAAGTTACCTTCAGACTGGCTTAGTTAAAAGCTACACAGGAAAGATGCTAATTTTCCAATTCTAAAATGCTGCTTAGTTTCTCTGTTCAAAGCAGACAACTAACTGGAAGAATGTCTCAAAGCCATGGTTTTCTTATGTTTCAGATGTCCTTGGAAAGGATATCATATCACAAAGCTATATTTATTTCCTTATTTTAACTAACATGATCTTGAGTGTGTTCCAGCATTATGTAGGACAGTAATCATCTGTAGTATGTGTTGCAACCAGACAGCATACTATTTATGTCATTTGCTTAATTAGTCCCAGTTTACAGTAATGTCCTAATGTAAAGACTATTACATGGGATGTAGATCATAAAGTCAGGGTAACACTGGACTCTGAATTTGTTCAAGTCACCTTGGACATTCTTGTATTGGAGAAGTTGGTTCAGAGTGTTAGAAAGAAAGCAAAGGAAGTATAGAATATAGACTTAATTCCTGTTACAGACAGAATACCAAATTTTGCCAGGTACTAATTCAGATTCTGTAGCCAGAATCTTTAAGTAAATATTGACTGAATGTGGTCAAATGTTTTCACAATGATATATAAAATCATGGTGTTTATTGTTACTTATGTGTGGTTATATGTGTGATTCCTGCTTAGTCAGGGTAGTTTTCTTTGTAAGATTATTGTAAATGCAAACTTGTGTAATCCATATGAGTTCTACATGTTTACTTTGAGTGGTCATAGCTATTTAAATACAAAGTTTATGAAAATAGCTTTTCCACTGGTAGAAAGATGAAATTAATGCAGCCATTGCTCTTGCTAAATCTTTTCTGGTGACATTTCAATGATATTTGCAGTTTCTGTAAAAGATATACAGATATTTGCCTACTCTATTTAATTTTAAACCATATAGACACTGTGTTAATCTGAAGAAAAGTCCTGGGAACATAGAAAAAGAGGTAAAATTTGATTCCAGCTCTCTGAAAGTTATTCTGATCTGTATTGCTTCAGCTGCAATGTAAATTATGTTGCTACTCAAAAGACTTCAGCACAATTTATTCAGACTGTAACCTCACACGTTGCCAATTCAACAGTGGAACATTAAGGTAAAATGAGAAGAGAAAACACAAAGTTATACCTTCTGTGGGTGACAAAAACATTATTAACATGACCCAGCCCGTTGCAGCCTGGCAAAGGACAGTGTGGCAGCTCTTGTTTGTTCAGTTTCCAGGATAGTGAAGACCCATTGACGGGACTCTCCTTCTGTCTCTTGGCAGCCAAAGGACAACCAGAAGCAGTGCGATGAGAAGTGTATTTACCTGATATGTGACCTTGGCCATCACAGCCTATCACTGGACATCTACAGAAACACAGCAAAAGAACCCCTGTTTTCACTGGAGAGAGCAGGCAGACAGTCTCAAGAAAGTCTGAGAAAATAATTCCAGGTGCCTGTGCCACTTTGCATTAATGGATTAAGAATCGGTCCCTGGTGGCACACTGTACCTGAGCATCTAATTCACATTAAGCTGAGTTATGGGGGTTCATCTGATTTTAAGACTAGGCAATTTAAAATACAGTTGTACAGCCTAAGAAACTAAAACATTCATTGAGATAGTATTTTACCAGAAAAGAAAATTAAAATTCTATCACAGGCAATAAAACACACTTCTACAAGTGTATGGAAAGTCAGCATCTCTCCTCTCTATCTAGGTTTCTGGTATGAAGCAGAGGATGGGTTCCTGTAACTGGTAAACTTGTATAATCCATGCAAATACTTGCAAAAGAAAGGTTTGTGATTTTTTTTGTGCTGCTCTGTCAGTATTATGCAGCTTCTCATATATCATTAGCAAGTATTAAAAACAACATTGTATGCAACTAAATCTTCATATCTATATTCTGGCAGCTATAGTTTACTGATTTTAATGGAATGTGTATTCAAGCCAGAAATATAGTGGATCTCTATTGAGTCTCTCTTTAAGTGAAATTTTAATTTATACATAGAGGAAAGACATGAGACTTACATGTATTTAAATTCTCTGGAATATGACTTGAACATGTCACTCTGATTTAATTAACTGACATGTTTCACTACAGGCAGAAATAATTTGTTTTCCTTTGTTTTGCCAAATTTTTCAACCAAGTGGCACTTTCTTAGCACTGTTTAAAGTAATTGGAACAATGCAAGCAGGAATAGCAGTTGTTCACCACTGTTCAGTCTCCAAGGTGGTGGACTTCACCAGTTTTGCTAGAAGCAGAAACACTTGGTTCAGCTCCAGCTCTAGGTCCTATTCTCACGTGGCTGGGGCAACTCCTATGATCCCTCAGTTCCTGAGCTTTTATGGGCTTTTTTTCCCCCTTTCCCGTTAGAGCAGTGCTTTTGTACTCACTTAAGTTCAGGGTCTTCTTTTTCTTCCTTGGTAGGAGTCACTTTGATACCTCCTTTCCTGGCACGAGGACAACCAGATAAACTGAAAGAAGCACACAGAATAAAAGCTACCTTTTTCTGCTGCTGCTTGCCAAGATCCCTGAGCTCTGTAACCCCATGTGGTGGGATGGTTTTTACCTTCTGTGGGATGCATAGTTCCCTGTCACGTGGCCAGAGCCATCACAGCCAGGTGTTGGGCACCTATGGAATAATACAGGGAGCTTACAAAATACAGTTTCCAAAGCACACAGTCAATAATGTTATATATTCTACATTTTGTGTAGGGTGGAAGAAAGAACAGCAGAGCTTTGTTGAACAATTAAAACTAGGTTTTGCTGATTTTTCTTTAAATGAGCAGACTTCTTTCATATATTTTTCTTTTATAACAGAGTTTTAGTAAGAAATGTGAAATATATTGCATAATGTGTAGATTTAATTAGCTTATAACGCAGTTTTCACCAAACATTTTTCCTTATACGTGATCAACATTACAAAAAAGAAAAAAAATCAGCTTGATATAGATCTATTTGTAAATTTACTGTTATGTGTTTGTTTGCTATTCTTCTGATGTTTTCAGGTGCAGGTATAAATAAGCACTTTGCCAGTATTTACAGAAGGGAAAACGGAAGCAGAGAAGCAGTTTTACTTTTGGGCATCAGTAGATGATAATCAGAATTTGAATTGAATAATCTGTATATTCTAGCACTGTAAGCATACGACAGGACCAGATCTTTCTAGTACTAAATTCAATTGGGTATTCATCTTGGCAATTGGATTATACTTCTGTTTCATTGTTAAGGGGCTTCTGTGTGTGTGTGTAACAAACAAACCTTTTAAAGTATGAATGTTTAAAACTAAAACATCCATACAATGACAAAAAACAGACCTGCCTGTTACTGTGTTTTTGCCAGCAGTCTGGGAGGGTGAGCTTGCTGGTCATACACAAAAGATGTGCTCAATTAGCCTACTGGATTCAGTAGGTCTTTCTGCTGACTTCTGCGTGGTTTGGAGCAGGGCCTTACGGGTAACACCTTCCATCTCAGAAGTCCATATTTAGTTAGTTAGTTATTTCTTCATTTTATTTAAGGCTATTCTAATTTTTGTCCTTTGTTGTTGTTGTTGCTTTGTGGTTTGTTTTAATTTTTTTGTTAGCTTGTTTTTCTTCTTTTTTAAGAGAAGAGAAACACATCTCAGTGCACAAATCAGCACAAAAAGTTACCTCCCTTTAGAAATCATGCCAACCATTTCTATGTTTCTGTATTATACAGCACAAAGTTTTTATTTTAAGCATCCCTAAAGGCCTTTTGAATGCTATGATTTTTACAGAGTATCAGAATTACAGAAAGTTGTGGCAAATAGTCTTGTTCTGAACCATTAAGGAAACTTGCATTGTTCAATGCTTTTTTTTAAGGGTCTCAGTTGTTACTGAATCTTTCCTGATGGGTGATTTAATCTAGTCATTGGTAGCCTGCCATGGGAAACACCTACAAATATAATTGTGATAGCACATCTGAGTGTGCAGGTGTATCTCTTCACAGAATATTTAAAACTATTTTTCTGTGAACAATTAATTTGTCAAAAAAGTGATTTCTTTTGGACATGACCAAATTTATTCACTGATTCAAGTAGAATTCAGAAAATAATTTCAATTGAAGAAAAGGGAGACTTTTTTTTCCCTTAAACATAATGTCAAAACATTTCATGATGACATTTTCTGAACAAAATATTTTGGCAGAATGACATGCCTCACACTGACAGCAAAGGTAGAGGTGTGGGTTGCAGAGTGCCAGATATGCTCAACTGTATAGAGCTAAATGTTGACCTGTCGAAGTGTGGGACAAGGTCTGGGCACAATGTCATGTGGAGCAGGCAGCAAGGGCAGATGTCTGGAGAGTGAGAATGCTCACAGGCAAATTCAGAATACCTGCCAAATACTATGGGTATTAATTTTGGCTACTTGTTTTATCAGATGATCACAGATGGAAGAGTTGTCTGTATAAACTAGACATGGACTTTAATTCAGTAAGAGCTCTTTGTGGGAGAATCAGAGTGTTTCAGACTTAAAAAAGACACTGAACTAAATTTAAATCTCCCCATCTGTATTTACCACTTCTGGCAGCACAGAGATTTTACAACCAGATTAGGGTCCGAGGTATTCTTGAGGTCATTAAAGATTTCAGGTTGAGATTTTATCTATACTGATGAAATTGTAAGATGATATTTCAGGTGGACTACTGACAAATTAATAAGAAACTTCACTAGCAAGACTGCTAAGCTTGACCACTGAGTTGGGTTTTCAAAATATTGGTTATACCTTTGTACGGACTGTGAAATTCCACAGTACAAGATACACCAGCAAACAAAGTAGTGCTTTACAGACAGTAATACTGTGAATCTTCATCAGCTTTTAACTGGCTGAGTGTTTGGACTAGTGCCCCAGCTTAGGGAGTCATCCCTTGTTACGGATTCCTGCGCACAGCCAAGAAAATCAGATTCACATTGGAGGACCATAGGCTTCAGGAGCTCTAGCTAAAATGTGTCAGCTCTCAAGGGGATGTAGGTTACAGATTCTTTTACAATTAATCAAGTTTGGTTTCCAAGAACAAATCTCTCAGTTATTTCACATAGAAATTCTAGTAACTGTGCATCATGTACCTGCAATTCTGTTCCCTTCTCTAAGAGGCGTTGTTTTATCTTTAAGTAGATGAACTACAACTGCACGTAAAATTGATACACTATGCTGCAGGTCTAGGATCTTTTCTGGTAACTTTACTGCCTAGAAAGATCACAGGAATGGTTGGATATAAACTGTAGTTAAGCCAACTGACCACAGAGGTCAGCTAAGAAAACCATTGGATGAAATATGTCATGCTGCCTGGGAAATATGCATTAGTATCTACGTGTTGTGTGAAACCTGTTGAGAAGAACTGCTAGAATCTGTCCTAAAAATGGACAATGCAACAACATGTATAAGGATAGGACAGACTACTTATTCATCAAAGTTTCTGAACTGCAAGTAGATATCTCTCTAAAGCATACTTTTAAAATTCTTTAAGGCTTGATAAGCAAGCTCTTTGGTGAAATAGGATAATCAATCATAATTATCCCTTATAGCTATAAAATCTGACTTGTCATCAACTTTAGTATGTTTTAATTTGATGACTTTAGATTGCTCTGTGCAATAAGAATCCTCAGATAAAATATTTTTTGAATCTGAGTCAAAGGCTCACTTTCTGAACAGATCTTCCTTATTTCCAAACTGTAGATCACATGGAAGCCTTGTATCTTTGCTGGCTTAGAGTTTCATAATTAATGCCAGAATCTTATCTTGATTCTGGCAAATTAAACATGAATAACATTTGGAAAAAATACACAGCTTTTTCATATTCATGCCTAACTACATGAGGGTATTTTCATGGCCTGATTCTATGAGCATTTATGCCCTCTGCTCACATAGCAATAGTAAAATTAACTATTGATATCATATAGTATACAAGTGCAAGTGTGACTACAGTTTTTGGCATAAGATTCCATTTAGCCAACACTTACCAGAATCAGAGTTCTGTTTAAAATTTCACCTGAACTGTGTTTGCAGGAGCTGAAATAAGGTGGTACATTCATTGAAAATAATTTTATTTAGCCCTTTTTCTTTTTGCGAATTGTCTGTGAACAGATTTTGATTTTTGCTCTTTTTCTAGTTAATTGAAATTAAATGCTAAGTGCGTTATGCAACATATTTCTGTCTGTGAAATGTCCATGAACTTTGACTTTGCCTTTCACAACTCACTTATTATACATGGCGTACAGTGTGCAGTTTGTCATTTAAGTCATATGCTGTTGCTCCTCTTTCCTTATGGCATGACCAAAACTCTAGAAGCTTTAGTGGAAAAATAACCATATTGGTATGCAAATTTCCTTGTTCACACATGAATATGAGGGGGGGCCTGCATGAGGAGCAACTATTCAAAATATTTGTGTGAGTGTCTATGTATGGCAGAAAGCCAACAAAAGCAGGGACAAATATATATGACTCAGCAAACGATTTCAAATTTGTCAGCATTTTTGCAGTTCAGTTCCTTACTTTTTATACTGCTCCTTTTAAACAGACTAAACCAGAATTTTATACCTTTGAGACTCAGCAATGGAAAAACTGAAGCACTGTGCCAATGTGTCAGTTTACCTACTGGCTTTGGGAACTGCTTTGAACAGTTGCCCATACAAATGGCCTTTCTTTGCCATTTTGCTGCATCTCCAATAGGTTCAACTCTGTAGCTACGATCAGTTCAGCATTTTGTTTATAATTCAAGTTGACAGACTAGGGAATAAGACCACTAACAGATGATCTGGGGAAGCTAAACACTGAGTCAAAGCTAGATGTAGTCACTCCTGCTATTAATACCATCAGAACAGTGTAATAGTGCCATGATCAGACTTTATTTTCTTCTATCTGGTCTAAGGATGAACCTAAAGGACAGAAAGGACAGTCACAGGATTCTCCCCTTTTTACATGTATTCATGAGTTTTTCCAAGCCATTTATTATGTGATCCAATTTACAAGTTGCAGAGGGAAAGCTATGAAAGAACTCTAATTATCCTTTCCTCTTCCCCACATCCTTATTGACAAAGCCAATTCAATAACTAGATGACTGGTTGCCAGTGCCTCTCTTGACTACAGATTTTTGAAATATTCATATGTCCCTATACATCTGTCTATATAGCAGAGCCTGCACAGTCCTTTTGTAAGTGACATTTCATGGTGAGAATTATGCCAGCACAAAATCATATGACTTGATGTCTGCTTCAGTGACATTAAACTCATAGTATATGGTAGTGAATGATAAAAAATGATTTGCAGGAGTTGTCTCATTTTTAGATTTATTCTAACTAGATTTATTCTAACTAAATAATTCTGAGTTTATTCTGACTGGATCAGACTGAATTATTTGCCAGATCAGTCTCACACATTAGATATTTTCTGTTTCCCTCTGATTCAGAACTAGCATAGAACAGCATCTCTCCTAGAGTTTACAATTTTTCCCCCAGGCCCTGGTTTCTTCATGAAAATGAAGTTTTACAAAAATGAAAAAAGAGAAATGGAGAAGAGTAAACTCTATTTCCCTCAAAAGCTATCAAACTACTTCAAGTTTCAGACAAAGATTTGATGTAGCTCAGAGCAATTCAAATGAACAACTGCTGGGAACATGTTGATAGAAGATAAATTACAATAACATCTGTGCTATTATCAATACTTACTTAAGCTCCTGGGAGTTAGCAGCCATAAGGGATTTTAATGTCTTGTCAGCTAATGGGCATCCAGAAACACTGAAAAAAACCCGGTGTAAAATCTTTTACTAAAACAGAATATTTTTTCCCGCCCCAAAACAGCAACCTCCAGACAATCTATGACTTTTAATGGCAAAAAAGAAATCCTCAAATATTTGCTCTTGGCAAAGGAGGAGCAGCCAATATCCGACTAGTTCTTAAATTACTGGAAAGATATATGGTTAAGGCTAAAAGTTTCTAAGCTCCTGTAAAGCTTTGCATGGGGAAGCAGTGGGACACAGACTCCTCCCTTTCTGTTGCCTACGTAAAGGGCAGGTGGGGCACCTGGTCCATGTGGCTGGGAAAAGGCAGAAACTGCTTCCAACCTGCTCCCAAAAGGAAAGACAGGAAATTATTGTTTCAACCCCTTGGTTGACAGTTGCCTATTCTGAGGAAAATATTTAACATTCATAGATTATGTTAGCAGATCTATGAATTTCAAAGCCATTCATAGAGATATTTGCAGAAACAAAGCCATCCATAAAGACATCTGAGGAAACTTTATTTAAAATCTCCTGTACCAGCATCTGTACAGACGACACGTGTACAGTTAAGGAAATGCAGACTTTACTAAGTGACTTATCTATAGTTCTTAACAGAGAAATGCAGCTACAGCAATAAGCATATGCTGCTTAACTCTATCAGTCCATTGAGTCCAGACCTTCAGAAAATTTTACAAAAACAGGAAAACCAGGCACATTTCTGTATGGATTATTTTCTGCAAATTACTTTTGAATACTCATCCATGGTTAGTATAAAAATATTCAAAGATGACAATGGCTAAAAGAAGCTCTATTTCCTGTGTTAGGCTTCCTGTTGTTTCTTACCTGCGGTGTGATGCGTAGTTTCCTGTTACATGACCGCTACCATCACATCCTGGAGTTGGACAACTATGCAAAGAATATGCAATGAGAGATTAGAGCGTATATGATACGTCACATGGCTCACCCTACTGTGCAGCGAATGATATAATAATGTTCCTTAGGGCAAACGTTCATTATTACACATCTCAACACTGTCATGACACTTCAGAGAACTAGCAAAACTTACATGACATTTCTACTTTTCAATTATTACTTGAAGCATAGATGAAAAAAAAATTCCTATTTCCATTATGCAAGGGAGTAAAAACCTTATTTTTTAATCTATGTAATGTGAAACCACCATGCTTTGCATAATTTTTTTGGGTTAGGAATTGGGTTCTTAAAAGGACAGTTTCATTACTAGTACCAAATTTTGACAGCAATTCATAAACACTAGGGCTGAGGTTTCTCATGTCACCTATAACACAAGCCAGAGAAAACTAATATCCAAAATAATTCCCTTGAGTTCTGACTAAAATAAGTCATGTTCTTTGGAAACACATCAAATCTTTATTTGCTGACATAAGTGAGAAATTACGTGTTATGGTTGTTTGCAGAACAGAAAGTACATCTGTCCTGGTTTCAGCTGGGATAGAGTTAATTTTCTTCCTAGTAGCTGGTACAGTGCTGTGTTTTGGATGTTAATAACACATTGATGTTGGGAGGGAGCAGAGCCAGGATAGCTGACCTGAACTAGCCAATGGGATATTCCGTATCACAGCATGTCATGCTTGGGATATAAACTGGGGGGAGTTACCTGGAAGGGACCAGCTGTTGCCTGGGTCAGGCTGGGTATCAGTCAGTGGGTGGCGAGCAATTGTACTGTGCATCATTTGAGCGGTTTTGGTTTTGGTTTTGGTTTTGTTTTGTTTTGGGTTTTGTTTATTTGTTTTATTCCTCTCCTTATTTATTTCCTTTTATTATTACGGTTATTTTTATTATTGTGTTGTTGTTATATTTTACTTTATTTCAATTATTCAACTATTCTTAACCCATATTTTTCACCTCATTTCCGATTCTCCACCCCATCCTGACTGGGGTGAGGGGGGAGGGAGCGAGTGGCTGAGTGGTACTAAGTTGCCAGCTGGGATTAAACCACGTCAACATCGAGCTCATACGGCTGAAGTGCAGAATGAGCACAAAAGTTTCTCAAGATGTTTGTCAGCTGAGAAGTGATAAGAGGTGGTATACATTTAGCAGGACAGATAGGTTCACTTATATATTATTATATCACACTTCTTCTTCCAAAAGAAATATTCCAAGATGGAATATTCCAAGATGGAAATATGTTTGACTTGGAGAAGATGTTAGAACTTCTGTTTTGACTCAGCCCTTCTTCAGTCATAGCACTGAGCTCGTTTATCAAACTGGGATACAGTTCTCTGCCAGAGGGCAAAGATACCACGAAATGCAATTTGTGCATGGAGGGAGAGAGGGAGATGAATTAAGTACACTTTTCTACAGTATTTTAAAACACCAACGCTGCAGTCACTTTATAAAGGGCTGTGTTTCTTTCATTGGGCACTTGGATAAGAAGGGCAAGCAGAAGCTATACAAAAACTCCCAGCTAGCGCTTCATACCTATGAATAAGGGGTACTGAGATCCCCACCTGGCTGTTTTCTCTGAGCTGGCAGAGTGTTAGGAAGTTTTTCAAATCTGTTAAAAAGCCTTAGGAAACACTCTCATTTTCACAGCCCATTTCGACCTAAGCAGTGCAGGTATGGGCAAGAGAATTAACATGGAAAAACAGAAAGCACATGCTAGGAAGTGGTATTCATACAACAGTTCACTGCAGCTAAGCTAACCATGTCAGAAAGTTTTTCTCTGCAAGTGGTTATGTCATTTTAAAAACTTCCTCATGATGGAGCCAACTGTATTGAATTGTTCTGTACAAGTTCTGAGCTCAATGGGATCATAGAAATGTGGTATGATCCCTGTATTACCTATAGATTTTTCTGATAAAATTATTATTTAATTTTATGCACAGCTACATTTTAGATACCTATTTCTACTCATTGTTTAAAAACAATACACCACTGTAAGCTGATGGTTGCCCTAGTATTATTATTTAGGAGAGTAGAAAATTATTTTACTGACATCTCAAAACAGGTCAATATCACAAAGGAGTAAATATTACAAAAGAAAAGCCATTAGTCTTCAGCAAATAAACTCTCAGTGATTTCTGTATGCATTTGTTTTAGAAGGGACAAAACAAACATGACCTGTGGCAATTTAGATCGTGAACTACAACTACAGATACAATCTGGTGAGTAGATGACATGTAGACTGCATGGCATGAGGGGAAAGAATCTCTCTTCACAGCAGCTTGCCCAGGGAAATGTAAATTCCAGAGACAGAGGCATATCTAACTGCTTCAGTGCCACTGTGTCTGGGGAGTAGGACACAAGGTGACGAGTTGCTACACATTTGTTTATGCGTGAGCCTGTAGCAATACATTATGGACTGTCATCACTAAACGATACGGAGTGCACTTATCTAGAGAGACCTACTGTGGGTTGGGACAAAAAGAACACAGTTATAAATGATTGTTAAGCTGTAGATGACTATTAGAGTGAAAACATCATATTGGTATAAAAATGGTATTGATGTGAATCCAAAGGGGTTTTGTGAAGAGTCTAGGTGAAAGTTTAAAAAGCAACTAGTGTTAGGAGCTGGCTGGGACAATTTTACTGACCAATTCTAAACTGAAACAAGCTGCTGCATGCAGAAAATTTTAATGGAATTTCCTTGCAGTTTTAGATAGTAATATTTTGGAATTTAAAACAGAGCAAGTGAGTCTCTGTACTTGGGTAAAAAGAATATTAGCTTATTCTCTTGGAGTGTAAATTTGTGCATTCACTGGATTTTCAGTGGGACTAAATAACTAACTCTGCTTTGAAAGAAGCAGGTGAAGGACTTCTTAAACATAGATTTCCTACGGTTTGGAAAACCCTGGGACAGTTCATGTCTTGTGTTTTATCTATTTATGAACTTTGCATGCTTCCTATCTGAGAAATCCTGAGCACTACTACGCAAATTCTCCACAGTGGATTTGTAATGACAATTGTCCCAGTAAATTTTATTTAATTCTGTATGCACTAGCACAGCCAGTCTGTGGCACACTACGAAACTGTATTTTGCAGGAGTTGCCCATTTGTTATCTATCTATCTGAGGAATAAATAGTGATACCCATTATAACATTAGTCATCAAACTGTCCAGATCCCCAGGCCTACCCTGGCTTGTCTCATCTCCAAACCTCATGTCTACACAGTTGCATACCCCAATAGCAAATTAACTACCTGCAATGAACAATCATGCAAATCCCCCTGCTCAGCTCCTGCAAAACTACTCCAACCATCACTCAGAACAACAGCGCAGTTGGTCTTCACCAGGTTAGAGGAAAACACGGCATTTTTCTTGACTCACGTGATGAGTTCCTTTTTCAGATCTCTTGAATGGAGCTTGGGTTTAGGACTTGGTATGGAGACATCTCCTGGATACTTCTTTTCCTCCATGTTTTCTGGAGAGCTCACCGGATCTTTCTGAAATATTAAATGAGAATGTGACAAAAAGCTTCTTTCTTCAAGGCCTTCCATATATTCAACAAATAACTTGCTGTGGCAAGAAGAGAACCTCTTGGAAAATATTAAAAAGAAAAAAGTCTTAAGAAATGATGGAGAGAGATGAAGAAAGTTTAGTACCTCATAGTTTCAGGTTCTCATATGTAGACTTTTAAAAATGTGCAAGTATTTTAAAAGGCAAATGTTGGATTAAGCCATACACACGGAAAATTGTGTTTAGATTTATAAAATGGTGGTAAAGGCCAAAGAAAAACACACAGAGAAAATAGAAGTTGTTGAATATATAAAGTCAAGAAAAGACTTTGGCAAGTATGATCTTGTTTCTTTCTGTGCAAGTACATCATTAAGTTTTGTATATAGTTGAAGTGAGTCCTATTGTACTGTGAATTAGAAAATTGCAATAATAAATTAAAACTCCCCTATTTTATATAAACATATGTAAATGCAAGGCTTTTCAGGTCTGTAGAATAGAATGACTTATATTATTCAAAGAGCAGATTCTTGTTAAAATAAAAAATAATAAGAAGAAACTGCTTTGAAATTTTCTTAGTAACAGACTGCTAAGTGTAATTCTTGATTTCTACTGTTCATACATTAAAATCATCACTGCTACAATGCTCTTTCATGGATGGTATGGACCATGAGCATTCACTCCCTTAGGAAGGAATATGGAAATTTGGAGTCCTGAAAGGAAATTACATTTTTGTTTTCTGAAAAATCTTCTTTGATTGATCCAAAATAGCTTGGTTTACACTGTTTTGAGAATTAATGGCTTCAATCATCAGTATTTTTATGAAATATAAGTATTTTCTTTCTGGAAGGGTGCTCTGTGGATATTGGATCCACAAGAATTCTCCAAAGCCCATAGCATCAATTATCTAATCTCCGCTGATCCCTTCTGGGACTTCATGTTGGTTTTATGACTCTGTTCCAGTACTCATGTAGGTATCACCCAGAGATTACTGTCTGTAGGAGTAGAAACTGCTGCCTGTGGTTGAGAGGAGAAGCTCCCAGCTCCTGCTAAACTCATGGGGCTGGTGCCATAGATGCGCTATGCTTGTGCAGCTGATGAACGTGCCAGGACAGAGGGGCAGGGATGTCTGCAGAGCTGTTAATGTAGAGCAGAGAACTGAGGAGAATCTGGACTGAAAATGGAGATTCTGCCTAATGGGACTTGTAAGCTCTGCAGGGGTGTTTCTTCTGATAAAGCTTCCATATGGTCCTCAATTCTGGCAGCTCATCTTTGCCTATTTGGAGACTGGATCCTCAATATGACTTCCTTCTGTTTTCTGGTACTGGCTACCTACTGCCTTCTGAAACTCCCACTACACATACATATAGAAACCATGCCATATTATTGCTATATCAATTACTACTGATTTTTGCAACCACATTTGTGGGGTTATTTTGTTTCAGAATAATCTAATCTGCTACAAATATAGAAATCAAACATACATATATACAGCTTTTCTAAACACACTTTCATAGTCATTATCAAGCAATTATTTTAAATGAAAAAACCCTGATATATTTCAGGTTCTTAGAATTTTATTTGTAAAGGAAAATAGCAGATAGCAGATAAGGAGTAATAGAGAAAATTAAAAACAATGAAAGATGGTGTTAAAATGTTAGTACAGAAAAAATAAATAGTTGAAAGTCCTCCAGACATGGAAACTACGATGCTAAAAAACAAAAGTGGAAAAATGGATGTCAGCTTTGTTCAATATTCAAGATATGTCAAAGGCTGTTTTCCAGCATTGAGTTAAATCCTGGTTCCAGTGGCATGAGGGGGTGTTTTTGCCACTGCAATCCACAGAATGGGGATTTGAGTTCCTGACACTCTGTCCACAAGTTCTGACAAATCTTTTTTCTATACACATAAATTACAGGATCCTAGAGGGATCAGCAGCAGTGTAAGTCATTGTAAAATCAAAAGCGCCAAAAAGAAACAAAATGGCAACCCTCTGTTGCCAGCTGGAAGGGATCAGATGTCAAAATATCTTCAAAAAACACAGGTAAAATGGTTTATGCCTAACAAAATGGAGGCTGAACAAGTCTGGCTTATCAGTTTCCTCTCTAACAGCTACTCTGTTAGGCTACATCTGTATCACTAAAAGGAGGACCAATGCTGTGTTTCTAAAAATTTAGTTCATGGCTTGGCTGGACCCTAAGTATGTATGAAAACCAAGCACACATCAGCCTCTTCCACTTCTTGTGAAAGGTACATCTGAGAGGAGCCAGGAGTAGACGGTGGTGGAAAGTCCAGTATGTCTTTCCACTGGGATCCTGAGATGTGCAATGTACTTCAGGATGCACCTGCAGCAAACAAAGGTATTCATCCTTTTTTTTTGCTGCAAGGTATATTAGTATTTTCATATATATGCGCTCAAATGAAAGGTATCTCCTGATCTTTTGCTGGTGATGGACCAGAAACTTGTGTGTGCAAGTTATTCATGTCACTGTATGATACCAGCTGCACAGAGATTACTAGTCAAGAATTATACATATCAAGGCTTGAAACAATGCTACAGTATTGCAGTTCACAGCTTCATTTAATAGTGTTTCATTGAATCATTTAACAAAATAAGATTGTAATGAATTTTGCCATAAGTATATCTACAGCCACCAGTACAACTGATACTAGAGGGTTTAGAATTGCAGCATTTTCAATCTTTGAAATAATAAAATAATATTTTTGTTCTAAATCTTAATTGTAAACTTCCTGAATTGACTTATTAAAATTTGTAATATTTTTAAACCGACTGTTATACACACATATACATATACAAACAGCTACAATTTCATAGTAACTACTCTTTTGAAAAATTAAAAAATCTAGTAAGATCCAAAGTGGGAATACAGCTTGTTTCCCAAGAATGAGGGAGACATATAGACATTTAAACAGGTGATTTCTTCAGCATTGAGTTAGCACTTTGTGGAACACTTGGTATTATTCAAGCAGCATGAAATCTTCAGATGTGTAAAAGCTGCAAAAGGAAGACAATGCAAAGGCAATGTAGGCAAATGAATAATAAAACTGCCTTTCTATGACCTTACATCAGTACTTGTGGCCCAAAAGGGGTTGCATCTGTCTGAAATGAGTAGGTTGGACCTAAAGATTAAATACTTTTTGGTCCTCTGCATTTAGGACTGAATGTAGAGCTTCATGCCTTGGCTTGTGTTCGTCTCTAACAATTTTAGCTTTAGAGGGAGATATAATCCTTTGGGAAAACACCTTTAGTACTTCCCATTTTTTGGTCTATTAGGTGATGATCATCACAGCTAGTCAAGTCCAACCATATGTATAATTTGTCCTTTCCCATTTGAATGCATTTAAAATTAAATGGTATTAAAATTCTGAAGAATTCCAGACTAAAAGAAAAATCAGAACCAGCCTAATTGGTCCAAAACTACTATTTTCTGCAAAGAGCATGTGTGTATTCATGCATGCACCCTACAGAAAGAAAGCAAGCAATGAAACTCCATTAATGTACAGATGGAAGTTTATATTGATTTCAGCAAAGACCAGAACATAATGGTAACATGAATAACAGATAATAGCATCTGGCACTTTTAACATTTTTAAGCCCTGAAATCTTTGGAGAACTGACAGTTGAACTAACTGACAGCTCTAGTTATTTCTCGGCGCTTTCCTTTTGGAGAGATTTTGAGCTTTTTCCAAATTCAGATTTTTTTTCTAAGGGGGCATCTGGACAGGCTATTTTGCTGAGAGAGAGAGAGACAATATTTTCTGGAAATTACCACCAAAATTAAGCAACTGTTGTGCATATGAAGCAGATAACAATGAATTAGAAATAGATATAATCAGTCATTTTCTTTGCATGAGGATAACTGCTGGTCTTTGGTTTTGAAAACAGTCTCTGGCCCTGAGATCACCGATCATGTCAACACTCCCTGGGATGGCAAAAGCTCACAAAAGAGGTCTGGGCCCAGATCATTGATTAGGGATGAACAGCACAGTGTCAAAGCACTGAGTGTCAAAGCAAAGGGCAAGATTTCCTGAACACAGACCTTTGTGTCCTGTCAGGCAACCTGCCGATGCCTCCAGCTCCCTGTGCCAGTAAGGGTTTAAAGAGCCAGCCACCCATTATAGTCTTCTGAAAGTTGAGCAGGGACTGCAGGGGACATGGAGGCGCTCCTGCCACAGCTCTTTCACTGAGCTGCAGTGGCAGCAGGGAGGACGAGCAGCAAGACAGGTCCCCTGCCAAGTCTGTGACACCGATTGATCCCCTGCAGCAAGGCGTTCTCTCAAAGCTGGATGTGCTTGCTCAATATGCAGCATGAATGGGGAAGAGCCTGAGCCCTCAGCTACTGCCTTATGTCAAGCCCACTCCATAACCCTGATACAGGGATCATGGTCTCATTGATGAGGTAAGGAGAATCATCAGCCCCACAGAGGTGACTACAAAGGGCTCTTCAAGACAACCCAGACTCCAGGAAATGATTCTCTGTGTTGCAAACTGTTTCAGCAGCCACATTACGACAGATGTGTTGACAGTGCTGCCAGATTAGTTTCTTCACACAACTGAAATATCTTTTATGTCCAGGTATTTTCGGAATAGGTGTCCGGGATCCCCTAACTTCAGTCATAAATAAATTTACCCCTGTCTATGTCTTCTTGAAGTGCTAGTTTTGAACTATGAACAAAAGATCATTTTGTAATAAATATAATGTACAAATGTTATTATTAGATATATAAAACCAAATAGGGAGGAAAAGTATTTGAAACTCCATAAAATCTCCCATTTGAGACATCTTTTAGTCTGTTTCAGAAAGCTTTCACTTAGGCTCGGCTATGTTAATTAGCAAGATTTTATCTAATTAGCCTTTAAAGGTGCTGGTGGTCCTTTCCTGATTTAAGAAAAATGCAAGCAATCCATATTCTGACAGCCAGGCTCAATAGAAAAAAATAAACTCAAACTAACTAGCAGTGTAGAAGAATGAGACAGACAAAAGGAGACTATGCTGTCTTGTTGCCAGGATAGGATAAAAACAGACATGAAATAACAAAACAGAAACAAAACCAAAACCAAAACCAAAACAGTTATCAAGTTCAAAGTAGCAGTCTAGAAGATTAGGCATAAAATTACTAAATAAAAGTATTGGCTGAAATTTTAGTTTCTCTGCTTCGTTCCTGCAACTGTGTTTTCGAGTTTGGGCTTTTACATTTCCTAGGACAGGTCGAAAAGGGAAGACACCTCTACATACTCATCTAGTTTTCTATGTTGTTTGCTTGTCAGATACAAAATATCTCAACTGTTGGAAATTATGTTCAAATCTTCTTCTGTTACTTTTTATAATCAAAAGCTTCAGAAATTCCTAACAATTTTGAATTTCTGAATTTGTGCTTTCAGACTGTCTTCTGGACCTCTGAACTCGCTAGTGAGATCTAAGACTCGCTGGCAGAGATTTTTTGAAGTATGTTAAATGTAAAATAAAAATTTTTCCAATAAAAGAATATTGTAGGCATGGTTCTAAGCATGTGTTAAAACACTTAGATAATAAATTATCTAGAATTATAAAGAGGTTTTTTTGCTTTTCTTTTCCCCCCCCCAAGTGATCCCTAGGCCATTTGGGTGCATGTGGTACAGAACTGAGACATTAGGTAAAAAAATTAAAAATCATTTTCTCTTGGTGGATACCTTTGATTTCCTGATCTTAGAGACTTACAGACATTCACAAGTAGGCTCTGAGAGCAGGATTTTTCAAAGTGAGTAGTGATTTTTTATGCCATGTCCAAGATGAATTTAAAGCCAGCTCAATGTTCACAAACCTCTACATGCGGAAATTGATTCCCTTTAAAATGCACTAGACTGGTCATCCTGAAGACTGTCATATGGCCACTCATCCAAGGGAAAAAGTCACTCAGAACTTAAAAAAAAAATACCTCTTTTTCTTCTTCTTTCCTGCCATGGGTCTTACTGTAGTTGATTGGTGTATCCCAACCTTCCTGCTCACAGAGCGCCTGGTAGAAGGCTGCATTTACCAGGATGCTGCTTGTTTTGAAAGGAGAAGAGGAAGGAGTGGGAAGTGCTGTGTTGGAAGAAGTGAGAGGCATAACTTTGTCTTGGCTTCGGTTCTTTTTCATGCTCAAATCCAAAGTGCCATTTTCATCCACTTCTATCTCAGCTCCCTGACATGCAACAGGAAACAGAGACATGTTTAGATATGGACATGGTGAGGCTGCAACATAACCATGTGGTGCTTTTAAAGGATAAATTTAAATGTACGCTTTTATTTAAATTTATCTGAATCTAAAACCAGCTTTTCGATTTATATCAGTTAATGTCCAACTCTTAGGCAGACTTAAGAGTAGCTTCAGTAATGATATCCCTGCATCTCAGCTTAAACGTAGTAAGTAGAATTTAAATAAGATGCCTCTAAACCATAACCTATACACACTAAATCTAGTTTTATTTAAAAAAAGTTTAGCTTTAAATCTTCTTGATCTTTTCACTCTTACAGAGAACTATGGCCCCAATTCACAGTAAAAAGCATTAATGCATTGTTTAGGTCACCAACAGCAATATTATTATGTTTCCTCCCTTCCCCCCACACCCCAGAAACATTACAACATCTGCATCATGGAGGAGAAAAGGAAGGGGAAAGAAATATGCCTAAAAGTAGAACAGTAGGAAAAACTTTCACTAGGGTTTTGTACATCACTCAAAATAACATATTGCTATAATCATTTGCCTAGGCCACTAAGGCACAGGTCTGCACTAGACTGGAAGCTACAGGAGGATCTTTAGGAGGTTCTCCCTGAAGGTGACCTTCAGCACAAGTTGCCAAAGCCTTTGCTACCTGGGAAATACATCAAAAAGTAGCCTTTCATTACAAGGGTGTGTGCAGTTAGGGGAGAGACCCAACTGTTCTTTCCAGACTGGGAGAAGCTCTCAGAGGAGCTCCTGCTTAGCCATACAAGAAGAACAATGGAAGGAAAGCTCATTGTTCTGCCTCACCCTGTCTGACCACAGAAAAGGACTGTAAACTCCTCTTCTTGGAATGATGAAAAGCCCGTGAAAGTGCAACTTACTAATGAAAGTAACCAAAATTTCATATTGACATTCTGTGTGTATAGGGATGAGTGTAAGAGTAGTCCTTGCTATTGCCAATAATTACTGAAATCAAGTAGGGGAAGAGGTGAAAGAGCTTCTGGAGGAGTACTTGGTAGTCTAATTCTGTGTGTTGCTCTGAATAAGGTGGAAAACATTGAAAGACTATAGGGGTAATGTCATAGATCCATGCATGTAAAATTCTGTAATTAACACTGCTTTGTGTCTTTCTGTTATTGTCATCACTACTATTTTTTATTTGCATCATCATAAAGCTCAGATACAACTTGAAAATTTGGGACTAGGTATGTTAGGTGCTGTTTAACCAGAGGAGACAGTTGTATAAATCCAGATTGAGACTTCCTACCTCAAGTAATGTAAAAGTAAACCACTATCATAAGTCAATCACCTAGACTCTCTGTTGGAAATGGAAAAGAGACATGTATGTCCAGGTCACAAGTTTTCCCATCATTATTAGACCTCTTCCTTAAGAAGAGATTAGACACTGGCAAAAGGGTCCCTTTCTCTTTTTTCCCATTAACTGTTGCTGGAGCTTGATGGTCAGTCAACCATTTAATAGCTAAAGATAGGGCAATGAAACTTCTCTTTGTTTGAAGATCTTAAAAAGAGTTGAGGTGAAACAGGGAATTCTTCCCTTGTGCTGAAAGTGTGACATGGCCACCCTGGCTGGACTGAAAACACAAGCTTCCTTAATGCAGCCTTGTCTTCTATCACTGCCAGTGGTGACTCATTTAAAGGTAAAATATGCCTGATGAAATCTTTTTAATCAGAAGTGAAATGTTGGTAGAAAATGAAAATTTAGGGCCCAACAATCTCTCCTCACTCAGACAGCTTGACTCCATTTTATATCCATGGGTCTAAGACAGATGCCCACCTAGACTGAAGCACTACCAAGCCATCTGCTTGCCCCCCATTCAGAAACTCAGGCATCTCTTGTTTGCTGCTTCTGCATAGCAAAGTTCACATTTCCAATCATGCAGCTTAAAGAGAGAGATGTTTTATTATATTTATGGGAAGTAAACACACTTCTAATATGTTCGTACTAAGATGCTTTGGTTATATCTTTCTGCCCCTTTTTAGTAAATAGTTTAATCTCCTGTGATAGTTTTAAGCCCTGAATTTGACAGTGCGGCTTATCCTGGATAATAACTTAGTAACCACAACATCTTACGCCATCTGTATAATATCAAATACATTTTTATACCAGCATTAATAAACCTTAGTTACAAAAATCCAAGATATTAACTATATCAGTGCCAAGTGCGTACTCCAGGATCTGACAATATAGCTCTGCCATGATCGCCCCAGTGTTTTTTGGCTTCATAGTTGATATGTAACTATAGCAATGAAACAGAGCTACAGTAATCAAGTTTAATGGCCAATGTAAAGTAAAATGCTAAATATTGTAGTTGTTGACATTTTTCATAATAAAAAAACTTGGGTTAAGTCTGCACAACCAACATTCTCATAAAATTCCAGACCTCTGTGACAGATGGCTTAGGAAAAGAAGCCATGTGACTGGGCTGCAGTAGTTTTATAGTGCAAACCCCATAAATAGTGCAGATTCTCTGTCAGTGACAAAATTTCAGATACTCAGAAGGCAATAGAGACAACAAAAAGGACCCAAAACAATCAAGGTCCCCTCCTTGGTGAAGCTAGACATAGAAAAATAACAGGAAATGCTTTGTGTCTGGGACATGGGTACCATTAGTCACAGAAAGGAGCTCTGGCTGATAAGCAGAACATTTACTAATGTGGAAATTTAAAGCTTTCCCAACACTTTCCTGAAATTCACATAGAAGTTGGGTTGTCCAACGTGTACCTAATTCTGATCAGGGAAGGTTGGGCTGTGTGTTTGTGAAGTAGTGTACAGATGGGGTTTAAGTGAGCTCACAGATGCACACAACAATTAAATATAGTCATGGAAAAAATACCCCTTTTTGCCCATTGCAGGATGGATCACAGGTTTACGGGATGGCTTTTTATTCAGAATAGTATAAAAGAGCTATCACTTTGCTGCCTTCATAGCAAACTCCAAATGGCAGAGCGGAAAGAGAGGATAGTCAGAGATACTGCTCCTGTTTTCATTCCTACTCTCATTCCACCCTCCTCTCAATATGTCTCCTTTGCTTGTTTTACCACATTTTTTTTACGTTATTTTTAAAATGGAACTAAAAAGACAAAAATGGCAAATGGCAAAAAACCCTGGAGCGGTGCTATGACATGTTGACAGAAAATGGCACTTACTATGCTTAGCTCAGACTTGTAAAGGCTGTGTTCTCAGTGAAGGCAAGATCTTATTACTGTCGACTCTAGTGCATGTGTGAACAGGCCTATATTTATCCATTTAGCATGACATATTTAAAATATAGCTACCAAAACAATGTAAACTGTTCTGATTCTTTGTTAAAAATGTAAGTAAAATAAAGATGCATATGTAACTTTTTATTTCCTAACTTACATAACTTTGTGGCTGTGTAAATCTTGGGAGCCTGATTTTGATCTTATTTACATTTACACTGGTGTAAACCAGGAAAAAAATCCACTGAAGCAATGAAGAAAAGTCAGTGAGGGTGAGAGGATACATACAATACTTAAATTCAGGTTACTCGTTATCTACTCCCACATCAGTGACAGTGTAATCACCCCTGCAGGTTTCACAAGCAGCTGTAAAAAGGATTCCAGAACTAAAAATGAGAGAAAAATGATTGAAGTATATTTTCTTTATTCCAGGATCTACTCAGTGAAAAGATAGAGTACTCTACTATGAACATATGTCTAAAATGAAGACTAATATAAACATGCTCCATCCCTGGCAGTGTTCAAGGCCAGGTTGGATGGATTTTTCTGTGACATGGTTTAGTGTGAAGTGTCTCTGCCATGGAACTAGATGATCTTAAGGTCCTTTCCAACCTTAACTATTCTATGATTCTACGTAAATAAAAAATGGTCTCTATCTCTTCAAATGCTTTGTACTTTAACACAAAACTTTTTCAGCCTCCATTTTATTTCATGACATAAATATCACAGAATATTTTTGAGTACATTATAAAGTCTTGTTCTTAGAACTGAACTACATCAACTAAAACAATAAAGGAAGTGGGGTTTTGTGGCAAATCACTCCCACATTTTTTCATATGCTTTTGGTCCATCTGATCACTCACAACATTTAATACTCTGTAGTATGTCTCCAGTAATGATTACAAGTTAAGCTTTATCTCATGGCTGGATCAGAAAGAGTGAATTATTTTGTCTTATTTCAAATCTGTGACCTTATGGAGTTTGTATCATTACATGTAAGGGGGTTTATGTATTCTTTGTTCGGCATCAGCCATACAACCTAATACTAAGTAAGTGTAAAGAAACATCATCATCAATGATTCTGCATTTCCATTAGCAGTTCAGTCTAGTTTGGAAAGCTCTAAAGAGCTCTTCAGTTCTGGTATTGGGAGCAATTTGAAGCTAGTATCTTGCCATGCGTGTGAATACTATTCTTAATACAACACCATCCAGAAGAGTACATTTTTTTTATTCCCAGCCAATAAACATACATGCACCTGGACCTCAGTTCTGCTGACTTAAATTTAAGCAATTGAGTTCTTCTGCAGCAAATTAAAATACTAATTTGGGTCAAAATAAGAAAATTTATAACTGTCCAGCAGCATCTGAGACAAAAAATGAAGTCACAATTACAGCCCAGAGCAATTCACAAATTAAAAAATGCTAGCCAAGAGTATACTCAAGGAGCAATATGCACAGCAGTATAACAGGATGGTACCTAGTGATACTTTTGGCTGATTTTTCATCCTGTATTTAGGCTTTAAGGTATTTGGAGTAAAGGACTGCCTGACAAATGTGCTGAGAACTAACTACATTGTTGAAATAATTGATGTAATTATCACCATCATCAATATCCAAGAATGGGGATATGACATAATTTTGTTCAAAACCAGAATTTTAACTTTAAATGATTTTAGCAAGTGTCATTTTTTTTTGTTTTCTTTCAATGCATAGTGTGCATATGCCATTTTGTCTAAACAGGTGGGAAAAACACCAAAACAGTCAGCAAAATGTTTGGCAAGCAGTAATGATGAGGATACAGATAAACTCTATTGCTTGTAGCTGCCTCTGTGAGACATGAATGTGGTGAGGGCTGCAAATAGGGAAGATCACTGGATGTTTAAATGATGTAGACCCTTGCACTATGCCAGAAATTGCAGGCTAAGCTGTCTAGGGGGATTCTTCTACTAACTTCAATGCAAGTCGAATGAAGCTACATAAACTGCAAATCAAATGCAATCAGGAGACAGGTTTGGGGTACTGGTCACATGAGAATTAGGCTGATCAGGATTATATTCAGGGGAACAGTTTACTACAGTGCCAAGTGGAGGTTGAAATGCTGACAATGTAAGATTAATGTGGTTTTAATTATTTTTTAAAGCAATATCATCAAGGTATCTGATGATGCTAGTATTTTGTATGCAGCTGATAGATAACTCATAGATAAAATTTAGGATCCATTTTACTACTCATTTCAGAACAAATTTATTCTTTAAATTTCTTAATTTATAAATTCATAATTTTAATCTTGAAATATTTGATAGATCACCTTTGTACATTAGATATCTTTGGAAGTTTTGTTTCCCAATGGTACTGTTAATGTGCAATCTATTTTCTCTGTCTTTGCTACCCTTCCCTTTCTTGTTTTGGCTTAGACTCTCTGTTTTAAACCGATACATAATATATTTGAAAATCATGCTAATCAGGCTTTCTTAGGCAAAGGAGCAAAGGAATGTGGCAAAGGGCAGGGCTGAGAGGTCTGGTTCTATGGGGCTCTGAACACAGCCACCCCACACAGGTATTTTCAGATTTGGGGAATGTGTGTGCTATCAGGAGCAGAAAGAGGAAATCATTAACTCTGTAGTCATCTGTTGATGCTGCATTATTTGAGCCCAAACACTGATAAAATATCAAGAGCATTTTTATTATCTAAAAATTTGTAAGAATAATTCTAGCAGTTAAACATTTACCTTTGTGGTCAATACTGGCCACAGAAAAAAAAAAATCAGAAACATCAATAAATACATAATAGTCTCTAAAAAATAGCCTTATTTTGTCCTTCATATTTTAGAATCAGAAAGCATATTCATTGAAGAGAGTCTGATGATTTACTTCCACAATTTTTGTTTGAATCCTGTATGATAATACTAATAATAGCCAAAACCAAATAAAAATGGGTTTTGTCTCATTTTGGCCACGGAATCTGTTTGGGACTTACTTGCCTGTGTTCTGGCCAGAAGCTAATTCTGATTCTTCTGTCAGATGTTTTGTAGCTCTATGCCCTCCAGAAAATCTGGCAAAAGTGTAGGCAGGCAGATAGCAAGGTATGAAGGTGATTTTCTTTTAGGCTAGATTCCTGGCTGTGAAAAAGGAGTAAGCTATGTGCCCCAAGTGTCCGTCCATATCGTTAGTATTATGTTCACTTCCATTCAAACCTTCCCCATGATTTGGCAACTGTGAAGAAGGTACAGAGGAGAAAATCTTTGGGTTATGCCTGGTCCCTTTACTGCTCTTCTCTGGCAAGAAAGGTCTGTTGGTGAGGTCAGCCAAAGGCTGTGGCAGCAATTTAATCCAGCCATTGGCATCAGTATCATCTACTGAAGACTGGTGGAAGGAGCTTTTTGGAGCAGATATCAGGGATGGATCAGTCATCTGGGAAAGGTTCTGTGAGCAATCCTTGGGGCAGATAATGTCTGAGTTACAGGGAATGCATGTGGACACACCTGAAAAGTCTACCCCGTGGCATCTCCCAACATCAATCTCAAGATCCAAGACTTTACAAGTAGAAATCAAAGGCAGTAAAAGAGGGGATAACGCTCTGCAAAGCTTCAAGGCTTGGAATACCTAACAAGGTAATGCTCTGATGATAAAATTAATAGTTCCAGTCAAAGGATAATTGCCAACCTCTTAGCAATGGTGAATGAAGACCTAACTAAATTGTAGACCAATAGTTATGGAAGCCACCTCTAGCCAGACTGAGCTAAAATAGACTAGGTAGAGAGACACTGAGTTGCAGAGAAATAGGTCATCTGTTTTTTGGAGCACACATAATGACTCAGAGACCCACAACAGAAACACACCTGCTACTCTGTGTTTCAACAAATACACCTCTTTTCATTCCCCAGTGATTTCTTCTCAAGTTCTTGTAATGGCACCCTCTCATCTACACAGAGCTTTAAAAAGTTTCATTGCAGTGGAGCATGTGTAACTTTAATAGAAAAAATAATCAACAATGCTCCCACAACCACAGTCATCAGAAGAAAATCTTGTCTATTTTCATCAGCAGTATAATACTATGCAATGGCACAGAAAATAAGGCTCATAGCTCACACAGTACCATTTGTAAATCATAAAGATCTGTGAGGAAACGCAGAGCAGAAACTAAAACGTGAAAGCCACACAAACATCTACGATATTAGGCAGCTTTCCATTATGACAGACTTGCCCAAATTATCTATCTCCAAACACTGTGGGCCTGATTCTCCTTTCTTGCCAGCAGAAAGGAGAATTTTACTAGTCAGATGTTATTTTCCTCCCTACACCTTGTCAAACTGTCATGAACTCCAAATACAACAGACTTGATAGGTGTAGTTCTGTTCCATTGCTAGCAAAATACCATTTTAATTAATAACATGATTATTACTTTTTTTTTTTTAAACCAGCCTCCAAAATGGTCGCTTACAGCAGGTTTCTGGGGGAGGAAAATTCCCTCTTTAAACAGATCTAACTCATTATCCACCACAGATTGTTGATGGGTTTCAAATAACCTTCTTTTTTCCTCCCACAAAACTCCCCCCTTGTATTTAAGGCTCAATTATGAAAAGAGTTAACAACATAATTCCTGCTATTTATTTATTTTTATCAGAACTGGTCACTGTGTTACTGATTTTTTCTCTGTTTCTCTTCAAAAGAGCATGCAAACAGAAGCCTCTTTTTTTGGGATTTAATGCAGTCACTAACATGAAAGACAGTTTATTCGCACAGTTCAGTAGCTAGCACACCCTCCAGGTTCTTGGACTACCCTACCTTGGCAGACAGACTCTGTGGTTTGTTGGAGAGGATCTCTGCTGCTTCCCTGCAGCGGGTGGAAAGGTTCAGGATAGCAGCAGCTGCTGCTATGTGGGTGTCTTCACTACATTGACCGTAGCTATAAGAGTTGGCATGGCAAGGGCTCTGTGTGTGGGCGCTAGCACTAGGCAGTCGATTAGAAAATTTCACTGGATTTGAAAAATGCTTTGCTGTTGAAGAGAGATTTGATTAGCAATCGCACATATGAGATTTTTCCCATTAAATAGTTTTTGTTTCTCAGACTACAATTTCATAGCATTAAAATGTTTGAAGAATACATTTAAGACAATCCACTTGCTACTGGCAGTAAGGGTTTGCTGTAAAAATGGCTTCAGAAACACAATAATTTCATTTTTATCTGACAAATACACATCTTTCAACAAAGAACCCAACCGAAGACTTTTACTTAGATTTTACTCGTTCTTTACCCAGGCACTGAAAGCAATGATGTTCAAGAAAAGACTGACAAGGCTTAACGTGTTATGCGTCGTGACCTGAAAACAGTGGTGGGCAAATGCAATTGTAAATTTATGCTTATAAAGATTCCTCTTGGAGCTCTATCGTGTAAAAAAACAACAGTGGCTTGTCCAGTCTTAGCTAAAACAACACTGCTTACCCTACTTAGATGAATAAGTCTGTTATTTAAATAGTTTTGCTTATGTGAGTAAGGAGAAGAAGACCAGGCTCCTGAATGAACCAGAGTAAGCAGATAAGAATATTACCTTTTAGGAATATTCAGTTCTGATTTTGTGGAAATTTTCAGAATTTTAAGTCTACACTATAATAAATTAAAAAGTATATTGACAATTAGCGTCCAGCATGTAACTGATCTTGGCTCACTGTCTTATGTTGGCCATTAGACACAAAGAGGTCAGTTGAGAATGAAAAATTAACAGGTGAACAGAAAAGCAGTTTCACAGACAGAAGGATTGTGTGTAGCTCTTTGTTTTCTGCTCCATCATAAACATTTATTCTAAAACAGGTAGAACAAATTCTGCTCTCTGGATTTTGGATTTTGAGATGTCATTAACTGTTACAGGAAAAGCACAGCACCGTGGTTTCAGCTTTCAGGAAGCAACAATCACTTCTTTGTCTGTAGGTCTCACAGTGTCCTACAAAGATAAACTAAGTAAAATCCAATTTCTCAACCTACACCCAGATACAAGAAGAACATTTCTGCGTATGACCATCTGCTTGCTCTGTAAAGATCTGAGCCCCAAAGCTCTGGATCCCTTTGGATGTAGAGCTTTAGCTGAGTGCATTTTAATGCTAAGGCCTACAGAAGACATTGACGAACTCATCTATTCTCAAACTTGGGATGCTCTAAAAGAAATGCTTGCTTGTGTGCACCAACTGTAACTGAATGCCATATTCAGTTGTTTTGAGTACTGGAGGCATCTCAGTAGAGCAATACATAAAATCTCATGATTCAGTTCTCGTTTTTACCAGTACAAATGATTTCTCCACTCTGCTGAAAAACTGTAGCACAAACACGAAGGTCTACATTTTTAGCAGTTACCACGCCTAACTTAAAATTATAATTAAAGAGCAAAAAAAGTGCATTTTCCATTACACACCTTAAAAGATTAAAGAAAAAAAAAGCAAAACCAGGCAATGAAAGGTGCATGTTTTGTTAACAAATCAAGTTTGTAAGTGCAGAATCTACACAGGGCTAATGATGGGCTTTTGGCTAGCTACATATTTACACAGGACGCTAAACCAATCACTACATCATCAGCTTCTTATTGCCAACTTTTGTATATCTGCATAAAGCACTCACCTGCTCTTTTACTTTCACCTTTCCATTAAAATAATAGCTGCACACTGCAATCTTTGCAAGAACAACAGGCTGCAAACTTCAGCCCTGATATACATTATATGTAAATTGCATATGTATGTATTTGTGTTTGTATAAAAACATTTCAATCATTTTTTCCTTGAAATGAACCTGTGAAATAGACATACATCTGTGCAAAGAGACAGCTAATAGAGGATATTCAATTTTACAAACAAAATTGGAAAAGCTGCCACCCAAGAAACTGGCAATGCACATATTTGCTTTCATTTGAACAAGCCTATTTTCCACGCCAGATAAATATCTACTTTTCATTTGTAATTTTAAAGAGGGTATTTATATATATACACAAACACATAGATACCTACAAACACATATGTGTGTGTGTGTGTTTTCTTGGACACATACACTAATAAATATATCGATATACAAATTTTATAAACATATAAAACATGTATAATATTATCTAGAATTAAAAGTCTATTGTATTAATTGTTTTAATTATATTTTTCTAATTATATATGCATATATACATATATAAATTTTTCTGCTTTTCTGTTCACCTATGAGTGTTCTGCTTTGATGGAATAAGTGGGAATCAATTTGTTTTTCTTTTTTGCTTTCCATTATGAATTTTTTGTCATGAACAAAAGAAAAACCAACTAAAGAGTCTTTTGTCACATTGTTTTGGATCTATTTTCTTCTGGACAAAATACAGTGCAATGAAACCCATTTTTTCCATTTCCCTCATTGCAACAGAATCCTTTGTTTCTCTGAACTAAAGAGTATTTTATAATGGTCAATACAATGGCAGAATCTTGCTGAAGTTTCCCATGCAGATTGTGAATAGCTTCTGCAATAAGTAATCAGTGTTTGCACTGTGGTATCTCATTTATACAGAGTAGTACCTCAGCAAATCTGTAAGTGATGCAAGCAGAGGAGACCTGGAAACAATTTGATGCATTGGATGTGTCTGCAATACAAATATGATGTAGTACAGAAATATGAGATTTCAAAATTAACTCACTCCAGGCCTGGAAGTAGTGCAGCCAAGGCACATGGTCATCTAGGAGGAATAATACCTGTATGGATGAATCTAAAAGGTGTCTGAAATGCCTCTAAAATCTAGCTTGGATTTCTTTGTACTATAATTCATTGCATCTTGTGCAGACACATTCCATGGGACTTCTCATGGCACATAAATTTACCAAAATTTAGCCAAGGAAGAAGGTATCAGATACGACATAAACCATTCCTTTCTGGTACTCTTTGCCCTGATAATTGCTTTAAAAGTAACATCAAAAAAGTAAACCTTCTAGTGATGATGATACTTAGCACTCTAACATTTTATATTTAGCAAACTAGTGATTACATTTAACATTGTGGTCACAAGTGGTTAAATATGCTACCTACTGAGATTTTTTGAATTCTAGAAATTTGAAAGTAAAACAAAATGACAGCAAACAATATCATTAACATTTTGCCCATTTTCCAAGACATAATGGAATTTCAAGCTTACATTCAAGGAACTGCGGTGTTTTTCGTCCTTGTGCTGCAGGTGCTGTTGTGCGTTTGCCGAAGACTTGTGCATCAAAGCTGGCATAATCAAATGGTACTTTCCCAAATTTCTCCTGTTCTTTCACCAGGGTGGCTCTGGAGGAGTTGACTGGCTGTGAAGTTCTGTAATTGTACTGAGATACCTCAGGCTGCTTTGCTAAATTTGTCCTGCAGAGAAGAGGAAAAAAAATGAATGAGAAAGACAAGAATATCTTAAATTAACCTTTTCTTGTAAAATAGGATACAGCTGCATCTCAGTATCAGAAAGTGTGCTGTTATCACATGTAAAACTTAATCGTAGGTGTATACAAGAAGTAAATAACATACATATGGTGGATGATCTGGAAGTTAGAGTACTTTGACTTTCTTAAAAAAAGTTCAAAGCTGAGGACTAAAAAAGTCTAGTACTCTCTAGTAATGATGTGGACTACTTACGTACAAGAAAGACACTCACTTACTTCTAGATTACTACCAGTAGGATAGTGCTTCCTTTATTTCTAAAAATTGTCTGTATTTTTACTAGCCAAAGGACTTGTGGTTTTATGGATCACTATTGTTCTCACTTTACTGTGAATGAGTATGGTATAAATATAAGATGATCCAAAATAATTGCTTCTGTTATTTGGGAGGAACAAATGATATATGGCATGTTATTTCATTTAGTTACTGTTCAGTAACTACTTGTCTTTAGTAATTTCCTAAGGACTTTTCATATGTAGAGTTAAGGCACGTGCAGTTGGCAGACACATGGACATAATATTGTGTAATGGCTCTGAAGGAACCATTAGAACTGATCATGTCAATAATCCACAAATTAAAGTGTCCCTAAATAGACCTGAATATAATAGGTTGTAATGGTCGTGGTGCCAATGATGTGCAAATTATGCTTGTCTGTAGGGCCCATATAACTCTCAAACAAAATAACTATTGCTATAAAAAATGTTTCCCCTTTTTGATGCCATTATATAAAAAATGAATTTAACTAAACCAATAAACTTAAAATTAAGAAACTCAAAATATGAATTATTTAATGGTGAAGAAAGAGAATGAGCAGAGTTCTCAACCCTTTCAGGAAACATGTTACTTATGGGATCACTGGATTACACCTTCAAAAAGAATCACAAAATAGATGAGGACTGAGCTGCTAAAAGTGCAATAAGGTCAAAGCGATCTTTAATCAAATTTCAGTGGCCACAATATTGTAACGAAGGAACAGTTCTTGAAAATTGTTTAAAAAAATTCAGCAAGATGGGAAATTTGGTTTACAAAAGAAAGACATTTGAGAACCATTAATTAAGCTTTGTGTGTTAATGTAAGATTTAGTACAATAGATTTGAATGGTTTTTAAAAGATACATCTTAGATCTTTAATGCCAGCCACATGTACAAGAACCAGAAGAAAACTGCTGGTGAATTTTGAGATACAGCAAGTAATTTAGCTTTGTAGAGGTTTATCCTGGAAAACTGAGTTACCCCCTGTAGCTGAAACCTGAAATGGGGGA